ATGGGATCCAATAATTCAGGGGCTTATTGGATATCCAATAAGACAAGGGCTCCGTCGGATATCTCATATCTTAACCTCTACTCATCGCAATGCCTACCATATGTGTATGACCCTCTAGGCCCAATATCGAGCTGGCCGTGAGTCATACCTGTCAGAACTCCTTCTAACTCAGTGAATTACTATCTCTGTAATAATTCACTCGACTCATCGACTACGGACGTACTAGGCCACTACGCCGTACTCCCCAGACGATACAAGGAAATCCAATCCTTTGGACCTGTCTGTCCTCAGTTATCATGTACGTATAGTCCCTCATCCATCTAATAACCCAGAGACCGTATATCGAGCATGGTGTTGTTAGACCCATATGGTTTATACTCGAGTCTCGCTCTAATCGGATTCTCCGGGAGAACTCTTTCTCTCTCAACCCGAATGACCCTGGCCAGAGATTTGTCTGAGCAAGAACACATGAGATATTCCTCTCATGATGCCGAGAGTGGATGATCCTCTGTCGACACTCAATAGCCCTCGTAAGGTCGACTACCACTCCCAATGACCAACTGTACTAGATCTGGGACAGCCAAACCTATAAGTCTGGTATCAAAGAGTGGAGCACTCATACAGGACATCCTTGGTGTCTCAAGTCTAAGGACTAGATACACCACTAGGACTACGGAATCGCTGTCTGACAATAAGGCATCATCAACCATCCAGCATTCCGTAAGCGGATCAATCAGTGAACTCATTCTCCAATGAGCACCTATACTGTATCCCTAGTGTCCCTACACGAGCAGCTATGAGACCAACTGCATCCATCATATGGATGAGTATACAACACACCAGTCTGTCCGGTTATCACGATGTCCCTCTCGAGTAACCTGTGACCGGGATTATTTAGGATCTGTGTTTAAAGGTGAATTGATCTCATTATCATGATCTCATCACGATATGATTCTCATTGCACAAGTCCAAGGACATCACAATATATATGCATATATGCAATAGTTATAAAGTGATATATACCAAAATATAATAAGCAAAAAGATTATGTATCAAGTCACACGTGTCATCACTCACGTGATTGGCTTGCTGGGCACCTATGATTAGCAACACCAAAACCTGAGCCCGAGTTCTGCCACTCGGCTCACAAGTCCAGCTCCTTCTTGGGTCACTCCAGATTGGTTCCCAACTTGCGACCCGCCGACACCAAAACCTAAGCCCGAGTTCAGCCACTCGGCCCACAGGTCCAGCTCCTGCCCGGGTCACTCCAGATTGGTTCCTGACTTATGACCCATCGGCACCAAAACCTGAGCCTGAGTTCAGCCACTCGGCCCACAGGTCCAGCTCTTTCCTGGGTCGCTCCAGATCGGTTCCCGACTTGCGACCCGTCGGCACCAAAACTAGAGCTCGAGCTCAATCACTTAGCCCACAGGCCCGATCTTCAACCGAGTTGCTCTAGCTCAATCTTCGACTTGCAACTCATCACATCTCTTACCGAGTCACTCCAGCTCAATCCTCGACTTGCGACTCGCCGATCCTCTACCAAGTTGCTCCACCGTGATCCATGACTTGCGACTCGCTGGCCCCAATTCCAAGCTGCGCCAAACCAGTTATCCGACTTACGACGCATCGATCTCGCCTCATCTGGTCCCAGTCGCCCGATTAGCGGAGCCAACCCTTCCAAAGGCACTGGGTGCCGCCCCTCCAAACCATCCCACGACGAGCCAATCCAGCTTCCCCTCACAAGCAATCAACATAATCGCAGCATTTCGACCCAAGCATGCCTCTCGCACCCTCAGGGATCCCACGGCATGCCTTGATGGGGGGGAGAAGTGATAAGGTATATTTTGGGTCCAAGACACGTCACAGCCGATGCCACGCCGTGCTACAACTGAATCAGCAAGGGGAGCACCCCCACGCGCCAAGTCAGAATCTGTACTGAGGCGTTGTTTGATACGTCTCATCCCGGAAGCTTGGGATGGCACCGCCTGGTGCCGTTCCGCGTGTCCTGGGACGACAACCGTACAAAGGTACCATCTCATCCCTCGAGGATCGGCCACCACACCAAATCCACATACGACCGACCCTCGTATAGTAGTATAAAAGCCCCTGGCAGGCGTCCGGTCAAGGGGAAGAGAAAAAAAAGAAGAAGAGAACCAACTACTAACTTGCTCGTCGGAGGGGCCAAAGTCGGGAATCACCCGACGAAGGCCATTTTTGCAGGTAAGCGACCACCCTCGAGTCGCGAGCATCTCAACCCGGGAGTTGCCATCCAATGCACGAGGGCGAGCTGCCAACCAGCCAGGAGATTGAGAGACGCTGATCAAGACCCCGTCGCGAGGGTCCGATCGACCTCGGCATCCAGCTTGACCGACAAATAACTCTCGATATCGACTCGTGAACCAAGCCGTACTGACTCACCAACAAAAGGTAATAATGATAGTAGTAGTTTTACAAAGTCCTGTGATATCGGATCGGAATAGCAGATCGAAGAAGAAAGATGATCCAAAAGCGGATGTATGATAGGAAGAAGAAGAAGATGATGATGATGATGATGATGACACGCATACCTGAAACATGCACAAGGGCGGCTCATCGGACTCTACGTTGGGCACGAACAGTCTGTTCATCTCGGCGGACGGTGCCAACTCCCCCAGCTCTTCCAGCGTGGAGTCGGAGCGAGCCACCACGAAGAGGACCCCCTCGCCGGTGCACTTGATCTCGAGGCGGCCGTCGGAGTCGAACCCGAGGCGGCCGGCGAGCGGGTAGAAGGGGACTAATGCCTTGGCTAGGGCTGCCTTGAGCAGCTGTACGGAGAAGAAACCGGAGTCGCCACCGGGGTGATAGAAGTAGACGACGGGAGTGTGAGCTCGAATCACCAGCAAGTCCAGGTTGGAGAGCCAGATGGATCCCTCGGGAGTCTGCTCGCCTGGAACCACCATGCCGGATTCCACCACTTCCACCATCCCTCTCTCTCGCTGTGTGTGGCGGGGTATGAAGCCAGCCGATGCTCTATCGACCTTTCTAATCAGGTGCTACTTTAAGAACTTGTCGTGGTCCAGTAGAGCACTATGGATGCTTCTCATCAGCAGCCTCATGTGCAAGGACTTTGAATCGAGATGAAAAATCTAGATGCTGAACATATGCACCTCGTGACGATTCCAAAATGTTCCGCAGAAGACAAATCGTTCATTGACTTCGTGACGATTTGAAGGAACCACTACGATATGCACTCATCGAAAAAAGGTTATCGATCAACAAAACACTTGGTTGCATTCATTCAGCTAAAGCAAATCCATGTTTTCCAAGGCAATTTTTTCCCTTTTGTTTGTTCCTTATAAAGTAGCAATATCATCATCAGCCAAAGCCATGAGCAAACGAACAATCATCACGAGATTAAGTGATGGACGTCATTAATGACGACTATCTCTTCCGTTTTCGGTCAAAACCTATCAATTCATCAACGGCATCACTGTCTCTTGCCCAAAGGTTCCTCTTCCACATGACGTCTCGTTTCCGACTCCGGTGCAACTCTTTGAATCCACTCCCATATGACAGACGACGTGCGCTCGTTAAGTCACCTCAATTACTGGTGGCAGATTTGACGCTAAAAATGGACGGACATGGATGCCACCACAAAGAAATATGATAGGAAAGAACAAAAAACACTTCAATTGATAAGGCTTTCAATTTCTACCTATAGATTGAAGTGTTTTTTGTTCTTTCCTATCATATTTCTTTGTGGTGGCATGTTTTTTGTTCTACCTAGAGAATTTAAAGTCGGTTTCTCTTTGATTTTTATGGTGGATGTCATTGTCATACCAAATCTCGATCATCTATATTAGATTAGAAAACCTTTCTGCAGGATAATATTATCAAGAGAGGAATAGATGGCCTTGAAACTTTTATAGTACAAAAAACACTTAAATTGAAGTGTTTATAGTACTAAAATAAATTCATGTACACTTAAATTGACATGTACACTTAAATTCTCAAAATAAAATAAATTCATAGCTGGCCTTGAAACTTTTATAGTACTAATATTCTTTTCGAAAAGGCCTTTCTACATCTCTATCCTTGCCAAGTTTGATCATAATATATTTGTCATTATAAAATTTTAATTTTAATTTATTTCATGTGTCCTTGAAATATTGTGGTTTTGATAATATCCGTCCAATATATATATATATTCTTGTCATCATAATAACCAATGAAATTATAAAGGGCACTAATGTCAGAAAAGAATAAGCTAACAGCCAAATGATAATTAGTATCAACATGATGGGCATATGTTCATGTTTTAAGTGTATAATTTGATTTAGACTACTTAAATTGTAATAGACGAAAAGATGAAATCCGAAATGAGTTTAATTTATATTTATTTTCTTTAATTTTTTTTATACTTTTAATATTTCTCTTTTTATATTTTAATTTATTTTTCAACCAATTTTGATGCCATTAACCAATGCCGAATACGATTTTGCAACCTACCTATGTATGACAAATTTGAATCTAATTTTGCTTCTGCAAATAGTGATATTGAGAGCATATTTGTAAAGCATATTAAACATAGGTTAATCTCAACTATCTTAATCTTTATCAGTAATAAAATCTCCAACATCTCCAAGTGGTTATTCATAAGTAATCAAGTCATCACATCTGTAGACTTGCGAGTTACCTGTTAGAGAGCAAATCTGAAACGAGTTGGATTGTAACTTTAGCAGTTCCCATCCTGCTAAAGTTGTTATCATAAAGATGTTAATATATACATACATATGGAGAACTGAGCTTACTGATTTCAACCGTTTGCTTCTCATGTGTTGTGTACTTACTTTTTTGCTTTGTATGAGCACTAAAAAATTACATTTGAAAAAAAATAAAAATAAAAATAACAAAATGAGGGGAAAAAAAAGGAAAGGGAAAAAGAAAATGGGTGTGTGTGTGTGCGCGCGCGCGCGAATAGCCCAAACTGAACTAACCACGGGTTGCGCGCAAACTATCCACGTGTTGCAAGTTTCATCTCTTCCATTTGGAAGTTGTTACCCTCAAGAAGCATGAGCTCTCATCACCTGATGACCTTTGATTTATGGAACTTGGTTAATCTGGCTCATGAGCATCTTGTTTAAGTTGTATGATATGTGTTCTAAGACTGGACTCCTGCACCTGTTTCATGAAAAATCTCAGTTAAGATAAGATTTCCTGGTTCTGTATATTGTGTGGCTAATAGTATGAAAATATGGTTCCTTTAAGAAAATAAATAGATACTGTGTAAGTAGTAGTACAAGATGATTACACAAACGAGCCTAGTTCTCCATGGTTGGCCCTAATACCGTACAAGTGAAACATTGTATTCATGCAAGACAAAATCCAGTGAACCACGGTTGACATAGATACAGGGAATTCATTAAAAGACATGATGTCAGGACAAAATTAAGCTTTCCAGACCAGAAAGCTGCTAATGTAAATTACTTCTTGTGAGAGATATCAATAAAAGAAACATGTGGAGAAACTAATGGTTGTATTTTGTAGTTGAATAATATATGACTGGGCTTATAGCATAAGCATCAATTTATCAGTACTAACCTGCATCGCTGCTGTTGAAGCTAGTAAATCTCTGCAGTCATCAAGCATGGATTTTTCTCTTGCCGCAATGGTTGAAAGCTCAGAGACCAGCGACTTGGTACCCTCTACCTGATAAACATAAGCAAACATCAATATTATCATATTTGAAGCCAGAATCATCCGAATAATCAACCCATGATCCTAGTGTTAGAATCTCGGATTTTGATGATGAAACCAATTGATAAGTGTTTATGATTTGATTTGCGTTTTGAGTGATGCATGATGCAATCATGTTGGGCCGGAAGAAAACATGTCAGAAGATTAGACGTCGATTCGGAAGATCGGTCGACATATCAATAGAAGACTTCAGGCCATGGATTCGAACATCGGGTTAAGAGAGGATATTGCACCAAGGATATCGAAGTTGCGGAGGTCAACTGGCCGATTGGGCAATAGGCCGCAAAGAGAGGACGATGCGCCGAAGAATCGGACGAAGCGTCAATAGATCAATGACATGCTGGACAACATGATTCATGCTTAGTAATAATTGTCTAGATCGAAGTATGTTTTATGTGTGCAGGATTAACTACGATAGTAAGGCATAAAGCAAAATGAAGTCCCGAAGTCAAGAACGTGATTTCGTTGAGAGTTCGAGAGTTCGTCGGAAGTCCGAACGTTCATTAAAAGTTCTACCAGAATTGACCGAGAAGTCCAGGAGCTTGCCAAAGAAGCTCATTAGAACTCGCTAAGAAGATCGTCGTGAAGTCCAGGAGCTTGCCGGGAGTCCGCTGGAACATTGCCGAGAGATCGTCGGAAGTTCGCCGGAAGAAATATAGACTTACGGACTTTGTTTAGCTTAGTAAATGTCTTAAAATTGATAGTAAGAACATAATTGGGATTAGAATTGGGCCAACCCAATTATGGGACAGTTAGGCCAAGTTTGGGTTGTGTTGGGCCAAGAGAAAGGCCCAAACAGTGACCAAACAAGTGAAACAGTCGTGGCACAGTCTCCGCTCAATGTATTCTAGCCAGTGGTACCGCCCAGACATAGTATTCTAGGCAGTGGTACCGCCCAGTGTTAGGCTGCAGGCGGTGGTACCGCTCGTACCTTGAAATTTCAAGGGATTTGAATTTTGGCTCCATTTTTTAAGCCATTTGGGGTCTATAAATATCCTAGCTATTCTTACATGGAGAAGGAAGAAAAGTGAACAAAAACTCTGTGTTTCTAAAGTTGAAAACCCTTATAAAGTATAGAGTCCCTCCTCCTAAAGTATAAAGATCATTCTAAGAGAGAGTGTGAGGGAAGCTTTGTAAAAAAGGGGTGTAAAGGTTCTCTCCTGAGCCTGCAAAAGGAGAATAGAGTTGTAAGGAGATTGATCTTCGCCTATTAAAGGAAGATCATTAGTGGATGCTGGTGGCCTCGACGGAAGGGGAATCGGCGGAGTGGATGTAGGTTACGGCGACAAAACCACTATAAAAACTTGGTTTGCATTTCTATTCTTGCTATTTACCTTCACTGCAAACTACTTACTTGCTTTACTTTCATTACGCTTACGAATACGATTTCAAAGTTAACATCTCTCCGAAACGATTTTCGTCGAAATCGGTTTTAATCGAACGAAGATTTTTTAAACCGAGGTAATCTTTCCGCTGCACTAATTCACCCCCCCCACCCCCCCCTCCCTCTTAGTGCCGACTCGTTCCTAACAGTTGGTATCAGAGCCACGTTTTTCTCATTTTGTTTAACACCCAAAGAGAAATATGACTCTTTTCGGCTTTCAAAAGGGTCACTCTCTCATTCGTCCTCCTATGTTCAATGGGACGGACTACATATATTGAAAAACTCAAATGAGAGTTTTCTTGCTTTATTTGGATTTAAATTTATGGAGTATTATTGAAAATGACTTTCAAAAATCTTCAAAACCAATGAACGAATGGAATGATTTGGAGAAGAAGATTTTTTCTTTAAATGCTAGAGCTATGAATGATCTATTTTGCGCCTTAGACAAAAACGAATTTAATTGTGTTTCTATGTGCGAAACGACTTTCGATATTTTGCACTCTTGAAATCACACACGAAGGCACTACTAGAGTTAAAGATTCTAAAGTCAATCTTTTAATGCACGATTTTGAACTATTTCAAATAAAGCTAAGCGAAACTATTGTTGACATGTACACCCATTTGACGGATGTCGTCAATAGTTTAAAAGCACTTGGCAAATGTTTTTTGAATTTTGAAATTGTTAATAAAATTTTACGATCACTTTCTAAAAATTGGGATTCAAAAGTAACGACAATACAAGAATCAAAAGATTTGAACCATTTTCCAATCGAAGAACTAATTGCGTCTTTAATAACCTTCGAAATGAGTTTTATAACACATGTGGCACAAAACGAACTTAAGAACCACCTTTCAAAGAATAAAAAGGATTTCGGACTAAGAACAATCGAATATCACTCGAGCATAAGCTCAAGTGATGGTGAACTTGAACTCCTCACCATAAAATTTAAAAAGTTCATGAAACAAAAATTAAAGAACAAAAAGAACACAACTACTTACTATGAACGCAAGAAGAGGGAACCACTTTGGGACGAATCGAGCTCATCCGTAGACGAGTAAAAAATCAACAAAAACGATGTGGCAAACTACGCCTTAACGGCTTTTGACGACGAGGTAATCAAAATCCCCTTAGTTTATTTCAAAATTACATTATGCTTTTCATGAGTTATTTTTAATTTAGTTTAATTATTTTTTCTTGAAAATTACATGTTTAATAATGTAATAAAAATGCTAAAAAAATGGGATCATGCTAGTAATTTTAAAAATGATCATGATAATTATATGTTTTACGAAAATATAATAAAATAATAATTCTATGCATGTTTTAAGAAGCAATAATGATTTTCGTATTGCCTTTTGATTATAAATGATGATGCATGACTTTTATATGGAAAACTAAGCATGAAAAGTTAGATTCACCTAAAAAGAAAAATGCATAACTACAACAAACAAAATAATTTTGATGGAAAATGATTTATGAAATCATTCTTGATGTTTTAATGATGTAATGAAGTAATAATTTGTATCATAATGATTTTTATTGAGCTTGATGATTTCTATGATTTTTTTTGCTCTTTCGATTTTAAACTATGATGTATGGTTTTCATACGAAAAACTTGAGCATCCTAATATGAAATCAATCACACAAAATGAAACACATAAAAAGAAAATTGTATTATCATTGGAATCAAAATGATAAACCAAATCGCTTGTTTAAAGAAGTCTTATGTTTAATGTGTTATATTTTTTGTCATGATGAGAAAATGTTTTTTGGTTTAAATGATGATATATGCTTCGATTTGGCATAAATGAAAAAGGCATACTTCTATGAAACAAACAACTTAAAATGAAATAACCAAAAAGAGAATGCATTTTGAAAATAAATGTTTATATCATATTTGATGATTTTATATTTTTTAAACTATGCATGATGAGTTGAAGTAGTAATGGTTTGAATGCATGAATCGACAATTTTTTTTGTCACACGAATCATGACTTCGTCACTTGATACTCTAATTTTTTTTTTATGATTCATGAAAAATTGAGACATTATGCATGAATCAAGTTCTCGTGTGAATCTATCTATGTTGCCTTCATTAAATTTTTCGAAAAGTGATTTTGATGATCATTTTGATTATTTAAAAGGAGAATTATCGAAATGATTCATGGAATTTTGGATTCATGACTTGATCTTTCATTTGTTTATAAGATAGTTCAAATTTTTGTACCTTCGAATTTTTCCCTTCTCCTTTCAATTTTTTGAAATTATGCATGTTATATGTTGAAGATTTGAAAACATGTTTTGATATCATGAATACCCAAGAAATGTTGATTTGACAAATTGAATGAGTTGAAAACAAATGATGATTTTTTTTTCTCTTGATTATAACTTGTGATACTTCTTATATGAATCATCATCTTGATTTCTCGATATTTGATACCATCATAATGTGAAATATTTATGATTTGGAATGATGCATGCAATACTTATGATTTCATTATGATGATATGATGTATTGCATATGATGTGAATCATATTTAAAATTACTTTAATTTGAATTCAATTTGAATTCAAGGTTTATCTCAATGACATATTGTAATAAGAGTAACACTTTATCTTTGTCATGATTTAAAAATTGTTGTAAAGGAAAAAAGAGATACAAAATTATATTCTTCCCTTCTTTTTGACAATGACAAAGGGGGAGATAACTTGCTTGCTTGCTCATCTAAAGAGTAGCAAAAATTGCAAACGTACATATCGCTAAAAGAGGCAAAACTTTTTAGTTTGCTCATCTTAAAAGCAAGAAATGCTATCTTACAATCTCAAGAGAAGCAATAGTGCTATCTTGCCTATCTCAAGAAGCAAAACTTGCAACTTGCACATTGCAAAAGGAAGCAAGAATCGCTAGCTTGCACACTTCAACAAGAAAGTTATCTTGCATTTGCTTTCGAAATATTACTAGCTTACACCTTCTAAAATGAAAAAAATAAAAAAAAATTTTGCAAGCTTATATGTTGTAAACTTGCTCTCACTACCTTGCATATCTAAAACTTGATAACTTGCATGTTCTAATATGATGTAACACTTGCTAAATTTGCTAGCTTGCATAATAATTAAAATGGAGATTATGTTTAGTATGCAATGATTTGAACTTATATCTCAAACACTTAATAGTTGAACTTCTCTTTTTTGTTGATAACAAAGGGGGAGAAGTATGATGTAATGCATAAGTTTTATGATAACATGTTGCTTGGATTTTTGAATCCAAGAGTTCTATCAATATGGTATATTGATAGGGGGAGTTTATTTAAACTCCGAGAGTTAAGGTTAACTTCGTCATCAATTAGTTGTCATCATCAAAAAGGGAGAAATTGTTGAATCTCGGATTTTGATAATGAAACTAATTGATAAGTGTTTATAATTTGATCTGTCTTTTGAGTGATGTAGGATGCTTCGATAAGGATAAGACAATTAAAGCATGAAGAATTATGTTGGGCTGGAGGAAAACAAGTCAGAAGATTGGACGTCGAGTCGGAGGATCGGTCGACGTATCGACAGAAGGCTTCG